TCTCCCGACCGGCTGTCCGGGCTGCCGAGAGCCGGGGCTTTGAGGGGGCCGGGGCAGCCGCGTCTCGGGGCGCGTTAGGGACGGGATATGGGGTGGCCGCCGGGGGAGCGCCCCGGGGAGGCGCCTCGGCCCCGCGGGGCACCGGGGCTGGCAGCCCTTGTGCAGGAGAGAGCTGGGGGCTCCTGTCAGAGCTCGGTGGCGGTGGGACCTCCGGGACCTCCGCGGGAGGTGACACTATCCCCACTCCCCCGCAGCACCGCCTCTCTCGCACACGCCCCGGGTGTCACACACCCCCAGGGATGCTGGTGTCGCAGGGGTCAGGGCTGGCAGGGGGTGGGAAGCGCTCCGGGCACGGAGGAGTCACGGCCCCTTCTCACCCACCCCACTCGCGATGCGGCCGGGCGGAGAGGCTGCCCGCAGCTGGCAGGAGCTTCCCGCCCTACCGTGGCCGTCGGGCTGGAATTGGTTCTGCCCTACCGGTGCTTCACTTCCCCAGATGTTCTCCAGAGGTTCCCACCGTCTGTCATCCCCCCGGCACTAAACCAGTCCAGCTGAGCTGCTGCGGGAATGGTGGCAGCCCTGCTCACAGTCCATCGTGGCTTGCTGCCGGGTGGGTGATGGTTTGCCCTTCAGAGGAGCTTAGCCTGAAGGTGCCTTTCATCTGGTGACTCCTGTCAGCTGCCCCAAAAGACTTGGACCACAGGGACCCGGGTTCCCAGTGCCACCGGACCCCTGTGCCAGGCTCAGCCTGCTGCTGACGGGCTCCATCAATAATCTGTGTGCCTGTGGCCTCTTTCCTGCTTGAGGAAACCCTGGGTCCCTTAGAAGCATTTATTCCTGAAATAAGGCTGGGGGACCCTTCCTTCTCTCTTCTCCAAAGCCCTTCTCACTGGAGGGTCAGGTAGGAGATGCCCTGAGACAGATGTGGCTCAGCAGCAGAAAACAGCACCTGAGAACAGGCACTTAGGGGCATGGAGGAACAGGAGGAGGTCTGCATGTGCCACCCCACCCCATTACACTCTGTGCCACACTGCTGCCTGCATCCCCCTGGGCATCACTGCCAGCTCTGGCTGCTTGCTGGAGGGCTCCACCAGCACAGTCATCACCTGTCTGGGAGCAGCATGGGGGCATCAAGGGGTCCCCTCCTCCTTCCCAGGGAGAGTAGCCTCAGTATGGGCTGCAGGGAACTGCAGGGGGGGCAGCGCTCTGTGGCATCCCCCTCCCACCCTCTGTGCCCCCACAAGCACTGCTGGGCTGTGGGAGAGGCTGTGGTCCAGCCACAGCATCAGCAGCTTCCCGTTCCAGAGCAGCCTGAGGCTTCTGGACTGCCAAGGGGTCTCCTTCTCCCATGGTCCCTGAAATGCCAGCCCCATGGGATTTCAGCAGTCAGCTTCAAATGGGAAACAAATCTCTCCTGTGATTTGGGAAAAGACAACCAATCTCAGAGGGGACTGCATCTTCTGCCAAAACAAGGCCTGCCTGCTGCAAAAGCCTTTGATTCCCCCGCGCCTCCGTGCTTTCTGCAGAGGGAGTCAGCAAACCTGGCTCTTACTTTTACTGAAATCTCTGAATTTAGTATACAGGGAAGGAAGGGGCGGTGGTGAGAGAACAGACTCTAAAGCACCGTGACTGCCAGAACCCTGTGTTGCTGTGTGAGGGTGAAGCCAGTGGCGAGTCCCTGCTCCAGCCCTGATGCCACGGACAGCCCCGGGGGCAGCAGCAGCATGGGTGGGCTCCATGGCTATGGGATGGAGATTAAAATACTGTGGGCACTGGGTGCTGTGGGCACGGTGGGCTCATGGGTGGCTGCTTTTGGCAGTGCTCTTGGCTGGAGGTTGGGATCTGTCATCACCCCTGATGCTGCTGTGTGGGCTGGGGGCTCAGCTTGGAGCTGGCCTTGGCTCTATCTGCCCAGCTCAGCCTCTCTATGCCAGGTGACATCCCTGGCTCTTTCCCCCTCCATGATATTTTAGGGCTGTCAAGCTCTTCCCCTTCAGGCTGTTCTGGACTGATGCTGCCAGAGGGGCCAGCCCTGTGCCCACCCCATGCCAGTGCACCCCTGGGAGTGCTGTGGGGAGAGCAGTCCCTGTGCCTCTCCTTGTGCCCTGGGATCTGTGTCACTTGTGTCTGTCCTGAGGGTTCTGGGTCACTGTGGGATATACTGCACCTGCTCACTTTGCCGTGCTCAGGGGATTTTCCTAAGGGCTGGGGGGCACAGGCAGGCTCATGCCCCTTCTCCCCCTGCAGCACTGACTGCCCTGTCCCTGTCATGCCTTGCGTCCCACAGACCCATCAGCTTTTCCCTTTGCTTTTCCAGGTGCTGAGGGCTCTGCCGGGGTGGCACGACCTCTCTCCCACCGACACCACGCTGTGCCACCCCCCACCACCCAATGCCTGGGGACTGCCTGCCCTCACCTTGACGGGTGGCAGCGGGTGACACGGGGTGGTGTGGGTCCCCCGGCCAGCACCAGCACACCCCATGGCGGTCCCCTTGGCCGCCTGGCTGGGGCTGATGCACCTGGCCACCTGTCTGGCTGCTGGGCACGGCATGGCTGGCAAGAAGGAGATCAGCATGGATGGGGACCTGGTGATTGGGGGCCTCTTCCCTGTCCATGAGAAAGGAGTGGGGAGTGAAGACTGCGGCAAGATCAATGAACACCGGGGCATCCAGCGCCTGGAGGCCATGCTCTTCGCCCTGGACGAGATCAATAAGGACGGGAGCATCCTGCCAGGGGTGAAGCTGGGTGCTCACATCCTCGACACCTGTTCCAAGGACACCTATGCCCTAGAGCAGTCCCTTGACTTCGTCCGTGCCTCCCTTACCAGGGTGGACGGTTCTGAGCACATCTGCCCTGATGGCTCCTACGCCGTCCACGATGATGTTCCCACGGCCATCACCGGTGTCATCGGGGGCTCCTACAGTGACGTTTCCATCCAGGTACCTCCCAGGCAAGAGGGGCTCGGATGGAGCCAGGGGCTGAAGTGGGGGAAGGGGATAAAACCTTGGCAGCAGTGCAGTGATGCCACTGCCAGTGTGGCACAGGGAAGCTCACTCATCCCTCATGGTGATGCTCTGCCCCTTTCTCCAGTGGAATGCCAAGCGGGCACATGAGCGAGCCATCTCTCTGTGACTGTGGGGCATGTGGTTAGGATCTCTTGGGGGCTGTTTGAGTCCCCCAACATTCCATAAGCCATAGGAGCCAAGCCTCACATGGGGACAGGAGTTTATTCCTCTCCTGGGGTCAAGGGGGGTGCAGCTCCTCAGCCCAGCTCACATCTGGACTGTGCCAGGCAGAGCTGTGTGAGGGGACACTGTCCCCCTTGCCCCTCCAAACTGCAGCCTGTGAGGCGCTGCAAGGGACATGCACCTGTGAGGGGCTCAGCCACAGGGCTGCCTGGCTAAGGCAGGGTGAGCTCCGAGGACAAGTGTCCCCCTGTCCTCAATGATCCCATAGGAGTAGGCACCTCAGACTTCACACATGGCTGTGACCCTGGGTGGGGTGCATCTCAGACCCCAAAACCACAGCTCTGTCCACCTGGAGGCTGGTTTCAGCAGGGAGAAGAGCATCCCCTGAGGACGCAGGCAGCCAGCAGCATCAGCTGAGTCACAGGGGTGGCCGGTGGGCCACATGCTTGCTGAGATTTAATGAGTCCCCAGGGTGTGTCAGACTGTGTGTCCTGCTCCCTGGGGTCCCTGCATCCTCCAGCTACGGGGCAGAAGAAGCTGGGACTGCATGATGGAGGCAGCATCCCAGCCCACCCTGGCACTTGTCCCTTCCCTTGCTGGGAACCCAGCATGTCCCCATGTCCCAAGCCTGGGCAGGGAGGTGTCAGCAGGGGCAGAATGTGGGCCGGCCGGGGAGCTCAGGGGGCACTGGAGGGACATGGCAGGCTGGCAGCTCCCATGCATGGTGAGGACAGGCAGCGGCATCACTGCGCTCAGGGACATTCTTGCTATTAGGGGAATTTATCGTCAAGATCATTTGTCCACGTTAATTAAGCCACGTCTCCTGCCTGGGGAGAAGTGAGACGTGGGCAGGCTTGGCAGCCCCGCTGGCCCACTCGAGACCCAGAGCCTGGTTTTTAACAGTCTCATTAGTGGGGCTTTTTTGCCCTTTGAAGCTAAGGAGGGATTCTGCTGAGAGACTGGAAGGTGCCAGTCCTGATGAGCTCCCAGTGCAGGATGCAGAATGCATCCCCCAGCCTGGTGGGGAACTCTGCCCTGGCTCCCAGCCCCTAGAATTCCCCCTGTGCTGAAGGGCTGCCAGGCATCCTGGCTTTCTCCTTGCCATCAAGCATCTCCCACAGGTCACCTACATCAGACTTTCTGCTTTTGTCCCCTCCTGAGCCCCAAATTTCAGAGGGAAGTGCTTGAAATACTAAAAAAAAAACCCCAAGAAACAAAGAACATGTCTGAGGGCTCAGGCACTCTGTGAATGTGCCATCCATTCTTTTCCAGTCCCTCCACAGATCAGGATGCTCTGGATTGGGATGGGTTGCTCATCAGCCCAAGGGTTGTGCTTGGGAGCATCGTGCAACACTGGGTGTTGGGCAGGGGTCCCCCATAGGAATGTCCCTTGCTGGCCACCACTCACCTCTCCTCCTCCATGCAGGTGGCCAACCTGCTGCGGCTCTTCCAGATCCCACAGATCAGCTATGCCTCCACCAGTGCCAAGCTCAGTGACAAGTCCCGCTATGACTACTTTGCCCGCACCGTCCCACCAGACTTCTACCAAGCCAAAGCCATGGCAGAGATCCTCCGCTTCTTCAACTGGACCTACGTCTCCACTGTGGCCTCAGAGGGTGACTATGGGGAGACGGGGATCGAGGCCTTTGAGCAAGAAGCCCGCATGCGCAACATCTGCATCGCCACCTCGGAGAAGGTGGGGCGCTCCATGAACAAGAAGACCTACGATGGCGTGGTCCGGGCTCTGCTGCAGAAGCCCAATGCCAGAGTGGTCGTGCTATTCACCCGAAGTGAAGATGCCCGGGAGCTGCTGACAGCCGCCCAGAGAGCCAATGTGTCCTTCATGTGGGTGGCCAGTGATGGGTGGGGAGCCCTGGAGAGCGTGGTGGCCGGGAGCGAAGCAGTGGCAGAGGGAGCCATCACCATCGAACTGGCAGCCTACCCCATTAAGGAGTTTGCTTCCTACTTCCGTAACCTCCACCCCTACAATAACAGCCGAAATCCCTGGTTTCGGGAGTTTTGGGAGCAGAAGTTTAGGTGCAGCTTCCACACACAGGACTGCAGCCGGTACTCCCTCAAGACAGGCAAGTTTGAGCCAGAGTCCAAGATCACCTTTGTGGTCAATGCAGTCTATGCCATGGCTCACTCTCTTCACAACATGCACCGGACATTGTGCCCCAACTCCACCAAGCTCTGTGATGCCATGAAGCCTGTAAATGGCAAGAGGTTTTACAAGGACTTTATACTCAATGTTAATTTTGATGGTGAGTCCAAAATGGAGATGGGGTTTGGCTGCCAAACTGCAAAGGGACGGGTGGAGGATAGGAAAGAAGGAGGCCCAAATTTGACCCTAAACCCTCTAATTCCACTAGCCTACCCACAGTCCAGGGCTGTGGTTGTCCTGAGGTGCCAACAGCCCACCATCATTCTTGGGAGGCAATCCAAGCCTTCTGTCCCCAGTGGAAATGTGTGGGTGGAGAAGCTGGCCACCAACACCATCTTGCTACAGCTGGGTGGGACCAGCCCCACAAGGGTCCCTCAAGAACACAGGTCCTTGAAAGCATCATGATTTTTTCACATTTCAGGGATTAACTTGGAGGGATCCCTGTGATCAGGGACCCATGTAGATTGGGGTGAATTAGAAGCATGTCCTCTGTGACTTGGGCTGAGGGTGTCTTGGCTACCAGGAGTCACTGAGAGCCGTGGAGGCTGCACAAATCCCCTCTGTCCCTGCAGAGCTGGCTGGGGCCGACAGCCTGTCGGGCAGGTGGGTAGCTCTCCACCTTTGCTTTCCTGCTCCTAACGTGTGCATAGGCAGCAAGGATGGGAGTGAAGGCAGGAAACAGGATGGACATTTACCTGTGGCCATGGTGGGATGTGATCCTTTGGAAGAGCTCTGCCTGGAAGGAGTGTTCTCCTGCCCTAAGGCAGTGACTGTCTCCCCTTCTCCTCCCCGCAGCTCCATTCAGGCCAGCAGACACCGAGAGCGTTGTTCGATTTGACCGCTACGGTGATGGGATCGGGCGCTACAACATCTTCAATTACCACTATGTGGACGGGCGGTATCGGTACCAGAAAGTGGGCTACTGGGCAGAGGGGCTCATCCTCGACACCAGCCTCATCCCCTGGGCTGAGACCTCCATTCCTGTGTCCCAGTGCAGCGATCCCTGCAAGAAGAATGAGATCAAGAGCATGCAGCCTGGAGACATTTGCTGCTGGATCTGCATCCCCTGCCAGCCCTACGAGTACCTGCTGGATGAGTTCACCTGCATGGACTGTGGTCTTGGTTACTGGCCCAACGAGACCCTGAATGGCTGCTACGAGCTACCCCAAGAGTACATCCGCTGGAAAGACGTCTGGGCCATTGGTCCCGTCACTATCTCTTGCCTGGGTTTTATCTCCACCCTCTTCGTTATCGGAGTCTTCGTGAAGAACAATGACACTCCCATAGTGAAGGCCTCTGGACGAGAGCTGTGCTACATTCTGCTGACTGGGGTCCTCATGTGCTACAGCATGACCTTCATCTTCATCGCAAAGCCCTCCACCGGGGTGTGCACGCTGCGGCGCCTGGGGCTGGGCACGTCCTTCGCCGTCTGCTACTCGGCCCTCTTGACCAAGACGAACCGCATCGCCAGGATCTTCAGCGGGGTGAAGGAGGGGGTCCAGCGCCCCCGCTTCATAAGCCCAACATCACAGGTGGTCATCTGCATGGCCCTCATCTCTTGCCAGCTGATCATCGTCATCATCTGGCTCCTGGTGGAGACCCCTGGCACGGGCAAGGAAACTGAGCCTGACAAGAGGTACATTGTCACCCTCAAGTGCAACAACCGTGACTCCAACATGCTCATTTCGCTCACCTATAATGTCCTCTTGATTGTCCTCTGCACGGTCTACGCCTTCAAGACACGGAAATGTCCGGAAAACTTCAACGAGGCCAAGTTCATTGGGTTCACCATGTACACGACCTGCATCATCTGGCTGGCCTTCCTGCCCATCTTCTACGTGACCTCCAGCGACTACCGTGTAAGAGCAGGAGCTCTGAGGGGGCTCTGACAGGGCTTGATCTAAGTGGTCCTGGAGATTTGGGCCATGCAGGGTCCATGATTAGGAGATGTGTGGGCCTGGGGAAGGGTTTTCATCCACATACCTGGTGATGGTCACCTCTGTGCTGGGTAATTCAGGACCAGGTGAAGGGTCCTGAGGGGCTGTGGCTGATGGGGCAATGAGTCCTGGAGAGAGGACCTGCCCCCCTCCCTCCTTTGCTAGGATGAGGATGGGAATTGGCCCTGAGACCTCCAGAGATTCCCCATAGCCAGATCATGGAAGTATGATAGTCATCCTTCAGCCAGGTGACACAAAAGCATGAGACAGCCCCTGGCTCATCCAGACACCATACCCCAGCATGAATGCCAGCCCCAGGGCCAGCCTGGTCCCTGGGCTGACGAGCAGTGCCAGGAACTGGGTAGCATGGGGTGCATCCTGCAGCACCTCAAGATCCCTGGCACAGACAACCAAACATATTCTTGATGGGTCTTGAGGAATTGGCGGGGGCAGCTGCAGTCAGGGGTTTCCAGAGAGGACCTGCACCCCCAGAGGGAGTGGGCACCGGGATGGGGGAGTGCAGGTTCTGGTCCCAGGCAGTGCCACAAAGCAGCATGTGGGCAGGGCTGGGGTTGCTGCTCAGGGTGTACCTGCTTTGCAGGGGCAACCTGTCCCCATCAGAGCAGTGTCCATACCCTGCCCATGGGTCTCCTGCAGGACCACCCTGACAGAGGGATGTGGTGTGGGGTGGGCTGTCCCTGCAGGGTGCAGGCTGTGCCCAGTGGGGCCGGCCAGTGCCACAGTATGGGCTTCATCCTGCCCTGCTTGGGGCAGAGGGCTGATGGGTGGAGCACCTGATGCCCACCCCTGTCTCCAGGTCCAGACCACCACCATGTGCATCTCGGTGAGCCTCAGCGGCACCGTGGTCCTCGGCTGCCTCTTCACCCCCAAGCTCCACATCATACTCTTCCAGCCGCAGAAGAACGTGGCCAGTCACCGCGTGGGCACCGCTCGGTTCAGCGTGGCAGCAGCCAGCTCCAGCCAGTCCCATGGTGAGCATGGTGGGGCTGGGAAAGGGCTGGGGGACAGCATCCCTTTCCTGGTGGGGGGTGTGTGTGGGCACCCCAGCACGGGTTCCTGAAGAAAAGTGGGGTGTGTGGTAGGGCAAAGTGGGAAAGGGGGGAGAATGAAAGATGCAGTATCCCCAGTGGCTCTTCCCTGTCCTCTGTCCCAGTGCCTTACCAGGACAGCACAGCTGCCAGAGGGGTACTGCTCCTGGGGGGCCATCATTGCTGAGTGGACAAGGCCTCTCTCCACCCCAACAGAGGGGATTCAGCTGCCCCGAGGTGCCTGTCACTACCTGAGGCACTCTTTAGCTCCAAGGAACATGACCACCCTGGGCACCCTCCACCCCAGCACCCTGGGCACCACCGCCATGGCATGCTTGGGGGTGCTGCTAGCAGACCCCAACCCAGCCCTGACTGCCACCTTCTTGTCCAGGTTCAGCCTCGCCATACGTGCCCACGGTGTGCAACGGGCGTGAGGTGGTGGATTCCACAACGTCATCCTTGTGAAGGACGGAGGCCAGGCTGTGGTGCTGCCACATGGCACCCCCACTGCTTCCCCAGGGAGAGCAGTGCCTGCAGCACGGCCCACTGAGGTGCCAGGTGCAGCTGGGAGGCTCAGTCCCTGCCCCAGCACAAGCTACACATCCCTCATGTCGGGTCATGGTACGTGTCACCCTTCCCTTGCACTAAGCCACGTTACATGTACCCTGTCCTCCACCCACGAGCCATGGTGAACATCCCCACTCTGAGCTGAGCCACGGCGCACGTCCCCAGCCCTCGCACTGAGCCACGGCACACGTCCCTCTCTGTCACCCGCACTGAGCCATTGTGCACCTCAACCCCTGCACTGAGCCATGGAGAATGTCCCCCCATCCCTTGCACTGAGCCGTAGTGCACATCGCACGGACCTCGCACTGAGCTGTGGCACAAATACCCTCTCCTTGTCCCTTGCACTGAGCCCTGGTGCAGACCTGCCTGCACCGAGCCATGGGGCGCATCCTCTGCCCCTTGCCCCCAGTCCCAGCGCACAACTCGACTCCCTCTCGCCAAGCCACGTTCCACCTCTTGCTTTTCGCTTGTGCCAATCGCTGTGCCTCCCACTCCCTCGCTGTGGTGCCTCACACTGCCCTCTCCCCATCGCCCACCCCACCTTCCCAGCGCCATGCCTTTCCCATCACCCTCTGTGCCAAGCCTTGCACCACATCACCCTTTCCCTAGTGCTTTGCCTTTTCCCCTTTTCCTCCTGGTTTTGGCCTCAGGAGAGCCACTGAGCGTGGCTGGGCCGGGCCCAAGCCCCCACATCACTTCCCTTACTGTGTGTGGCGCTTCTCATCCCCTTGTGGGAGACAGGGCAGAAGCAGGGGCAGACAAATGCCCGCTGACCCCAGCCCCTGCAGAGCCCCGGGGGGCGTTGGAGGCTCAGGGCAAGCACCAGGACCCAGGTATTTGAGCCCAACCAAGTTTTTAAGAGTAGACTTTTTCTGTGAATGAAAGTGTGATTATTTTTTTTTTTTTGTAATTTATGTAAATAAAGTGGTTTTGGTGTTGTTTTTTTTACAAAATGGATTGTTCCAGAGCTCAGGTACAGCCAAACCTGAGAGAAGGGGACAGACCCTCGCAGAGGGCAGAGCCACATTAAGACATGGGGGCAATGTGACAACCCCCACTCACATCCTGCTGACCTCAGGGTGGTGGCTGCACCAAGGATGGGGGGCACAGCTCCAGGGACAGAAGAACCTGCTCCAGTGGCTCCAGGGACAGGGGCCTAGGAGCTGACAGGGGATTCAGGGCTAGAGGCTGTGTTCTTCTGCTTCAGGGGGATGATGCAGATACTGTTTTTTGCTTCTTTGATTCTCCACCACCGTCCAAGCCTGTGGATGAGAGATGGGGGAGTCACCCTCCAACAAAACCCAGAGGAGGGGGAAGCTTCACCCCCAGGCAGCAGCAGGGAGTGGGGACAGTACCGGTGTTCCTGCCCAATGCCAGCCACCAGGAAGTCACCAGCTGCTGAGAACTTGAGGCTGTTGACAAAACCCACCTGGAGGGACAGAGCAAGGTGAGGGGCTCCCACAGGCTTCTCAAGCTTCCCAAGGAGGGGAGCCCCTGCTGAGAGACCCTCCAGCCCAGCTCCAGAATTCCCAACCTGCCCATCCATCCATACCAAGGGGATGTCCAAGAGGTGCTCCAGCTTCCGAAATCCTTCACCAGATTTCCATAGCTTCACACTGCCACTGTGGGACCCTGGGGCAGAGAGGAGACTGTCATGCACCCCTGCCCAGCAATGGGAGCAGGACACATTTCCCCACAGGCTGCCAAAAGCAGCTGTCACACACCTGTGGCCAGGAGGTCACTGTTGCGCAGGGCAGCCACCGCCACGATCCAGAAGGGCTGCTGCAGGCCCTGGGCGTCCTGCTCACCGTGCGCCTGCCACGCCAGTGCCAGCGGCTTCTTCTTCGTCAGCCCCCACAGGGCTAAAGACCTGCGGGGGACGTGAGGGATGAGGGGGCTGAGGGGACACCCTGCCCACCCCAGGCATCATCCTGGCCCCGTGCTCACCCATCATCAGCTCCAGACACCATGTGCTCCTCATTGATGAGCTGGATACAGTCGATGGAGCCCCTGTGAAGAGAAGAGGCAACTGCCAGAAGCTGCAAGTGTGCTCCGGGATCCTGCTTAGGGGACAAGGGCTCACCAGGGCATCAGCATCCCCAGGGTGCTTATGGTGATGCCTGGCAGACACATCCCTCTGCCCCAGCTGGACACACCTGCCCACAGCCCCCTCTTCCATCCCAGACCTACTGGTGCCCAGAAAACACGAGCTGTGATTCCTCAGGGATCTTCCAGAGCCGCACGGTGCCATCCCGTCCCCCTGCTGTCACACAGCACTCCCGGCTCAGGCTGTCCAGCCCTGTGATGATGTCCTGGTGTCCGAACCTGGAGAAGGAGATGACAAAGAGCTGTGGCAAGCATGGCTCTCTGCCCCCTCACCTCCTCAGGGCTTCTGGCGCAGCCCTTGGAAGGGTCAGTGGGATTCCCCCAGGTCTTACAGAGTCTCCACATATGCGTTCTCTGCCACATCCCAGACCTTGACACAGCGGTCGTGGGAAGCGCTGTACAGCTGGTGTGTGCCCTTTCGGAAGGACAGACCCTGTGGACAGATGGACAGACACGGTACAGCAGTGAGGGATGCTGAGGAGGACACAGCTGCCTGACCCCACAGGCATCTTGCCCACTGCCCCCAACTCACCGAGACGGCGTCACGGTGCCCTGTGAAGATGTGCAGGCGCTTGCAGGTGGCTGCATCCCAGATCATGATCAGCTTGTTCCTGTCTCCTGTAGCCTGGCAGACAGCAGGGGATGCCTGAGATCTGCACCTTGGAGACCAACAGCCCTGTCCTGCCTCCACTCCATGGGCTTTGGGTGTCCCAGGGACCCATTCGTGACCCAGCAGGGGGTAGGGGCTACTTTAACCCAGCAAGGCACATCTGGGCATGAGACTCTACCCCCAGGACCCTGGGAGAACACTTCCCATGGCCATCTCTCCAGCCCTGTCCCCGTACCAGGTACTTGCCATCCGATGAAATGGCCATGCAAAGGACATGGGATGCGTGCCCCATGTGCCGCTCCTCCGTGCCCTTCTTCCCGCCGGGCACCACGCACAGCCTCTTCCCACTGTCCACCTCCCCTGCGGGAAAGTCATCACAATCAGCCTCTGGGAGCCTCCCACCACTCCCAGAAGTGTCAGTTAGCCTTCCACAGAGCCTGGAATTATCCACAATCCAAGAACAGCCAAGACCCAAGCCACCTCAGTGGGCACCTGAGTCCCTGCAGGGCTTGGGCTTGGGAATAGCCAGTGGCAGCCCCAGGTGAACACTTGCATTTGATGAGGGAGCCGTCCTTGGAAGCAGAAAAAATGAATCTGTCATCAGGAGAGATGACGAGGCAGGTAACAGGCAGCTGGTGTCCCCTCAGCACACGGATCCTGGCTGGATCCGGAGGCTGTACCTGCAGGAAGAGCAGGATGTGAGCTGGGCTGCCCAGGACCCTTCCCCAGGCACGGGAGCACTCCAGCACAGCACCCTGCCTTCTCCAGGATGCCAGCAGCAGGGAGAAAGGCTGTAGCATGCTGGCTGTGCCTCAGTGTCCCCTAGGCTGGCTCTTGCAGTCTGGCACCCCCAGTACCGGGCACTTACATCTTTGGCGATGAGGCGCTGTAGCCGGCCTTTCTGCTCCAGCTGGGGAAGAAGCGGGAGGTTCAGCAGAGGTGGCCTCAGCCCCGGTCCCGCGGGAAGGGGACCGAGCCCGCTGCCGTCAACGGGACCGAAACGCCACGCCCGCCCTCCCTGCTCACCACGTCCTCCTTCAGCCGGTCGCCGATGAGATCCGCCGGCTCGAGTTCCTCCTCCTCCTCCGCCCGCTCCTCCTCTGCGGCGGGACAGTGCATGAGGCTCGGGCTCAGCGCCCGGGGCCGCCCCGCGGGGCACGGGCACCGGGCGGGACTCACCGAGCTGGCGGAGCTCCTCCAGGTACTGCTTGGCCAAGCGCAGCTTCTTCTCCTGCGGCGTCTCCTC